ATGGACGCCGACGCTCTGCTCTCCCTGCCCCAGGAGGTCCTCGACGAGGTCCTCGCCCGCCTCGACCTCCGCGACGCCGTCCGCACCTCCGCACTCTGCCGCGCCTTGCGCCGCCGCTGGGAGACGCTCCCCTCCATCGACATCTGCATCCCCTCCGTCAAGCAGGCGCTCTGGACCGTCGACTGCGTCCTCCCCCGCTGCTCCGGCCGCGTCCGGCGCTTCCACGTATCCCTCGACGAGCTCTCCGCCCGCCGCTTAGACGAATGGCTCCTCGTCCTCTCCCGCCGCGGCGGCGTCGAGGATCTTGGCCTCAGTCCGGAACCCCACGAGTTCTTCTCCCTTCATTCCGCCGTCTTCTCTTGGCGCTGCCTCATCTCCATCCACCTCTCCGCCTGCCACATCCCGCCGCTACCCCCGGACTTCGAGGGCTTTCCGGTCCTTAAAGTGCTATGCCTTGTCGATGTGAATTTCCAGCAGAACGGGGAGTACCAACTGGAGGAGATCATTGAGACATCCCCATTGCTCGAGCAGCTGATATTATCTGAAGTCCACATCGGTGGAGACGACTTTATTGAATGGGAGATCCGGGCGCCCAATCTGCGTCACATAACAATTTGCTCAAATATCGATTATGGCTGGAATTTTGCAGAGCTGCCATGCCTGCACTCTGCTGTCATCGATTTGTGGGAGTATGTTGGTAACCGAGATTTCGCCAAATTTCTTGTTGGGCTCGTTCAAGTCAGGGAGCTTAGTCTCTACATGTTTTATGCACCGGTATATGCTGTTCTTCCCAAGTATTCATTTTCTCTTCTGAATCTCTAGTTTGGCAGGATCGAAATAGAAGCTGACTAAAATGCCTTATACTACCTGACAATGGGAAAGGATTGGACAGTAATGAGCGTCACACCTCATAAGGGTTGGGCATATTCGCAATAAGTTTGTGGCTTAGTGCCTAATTGTGTTGCTTGTGTTAGTCACTTAGTTGTATTATTACTTTTGTGTATACTTGAGGTGGGGTACTCTTCCTGGAAATGGGAAATAGTTTTCCACCAGTATTTGAAGAAAAATTATGCGTATTTTATTGGCGTCACTAATTCACTATTCTTTCAGCTGTAGTCTATATTTAGGACTTTTGAGCTACTGCATTTTAATCCCTTCTGTGTTGCTACTTAAACTTAATTTATGGTTGTTGGAGTGTAGTGAACCTTTAGAAAACTTATAAATCAATCAGATTTTTTTTAGAGGTATAAATCAATCATATATTCTTTAAAAAAAGGCTCGCCTCTGTTTGCACGTGTGGGCTGTGGGCCAGTCATATTGTTCTTTAGGTGTAATAAAAGTGGCCTAAAATATTAAACAATATGAAAGATTTCTTTCAAACAGAAACCATGTTTGATTGTATTCATCACTGCTTCACTTCAGTGGCCTGTGCCCACTTCCTGGAGAATAAGTGAAACTCATCCATGATTTCTGATTGATGTCCTGTTTTCCAGCTTCAATGTTCTGATATTATATTCTTTCCTTTTCTTTTTCCAGGTAAATGGGATTAAGATACTGGAGATGCTTCCATGCACCTTTGACAACTTGAAGAGCCTGAAATTGTTCATGCACTTCTGTGAACTGCCCCCCATTTTGTTAGTGTTTTGCTTACTAAAGAGTATGCAGAATCTTGAAAAACTTAAAATAAAGGTAATGCTGAATACTACCTTCAGATATTCGTACCTAGAATGTTTGAACTTAGATGGCTGCCTTGCTGCTTTCGATTAACTACCCTTTTCTACATCCATTTGTGAAGATCTATTACGGTAAAGTGCAGAAAATTGAGCTAAATGGAGAGTTCCTAAATGCACAGTTGGCAGATGGCATGTGTGCTAATCTTCAAAATCTGGAGATGACTGGTATCAATTGGCTTCCAAATGAAATGTCTTTTATGAAGCTCATTCTTTCCAAAGCTAGGCTTCTTCGTACGTTATGCATCAGTCATGATGATGATTGCTCAGTGTCTCATGTGGATCCACTGCATGAGCTAGTAACATATGGAAAAGCTTCAGCTCAAGCTCAGGTTCTGTTTAAAGGTAAGAAATTAGGAACTTCTTTTTACTTTCCACAATTCCATATTTTTGTGTTTTGTTTGAACCAAATGGATTCCTGTCTCATATTTCGTTTTCTGAAAGGTAGCTATGTTCAGTGTTCACGTTATATACTTTTGACTATAGTACGAGCAAGAGTGATTAGTTAACCCAGAAGTTTTCTGCTGAAGAAATGTGAATAATAAGTTAATAGCAGACTTGTGCTGAAGCTTTTTGTGCCTCTATGAAGAACCTGACCATGGTTGCAATGCAAGATAAGATATTCTTGCTGAAATGGTCACAGCTATTTTCACTCAGCTTCAATATAATACTTTTCATGGTGTATACATTCAACATAGGGAGGCGAATGCTCACCAATTGCTCGCTTTCATATAGATTAGGTTATATTGACTTCCCATAGCCAAAGGACTCTAGCCCAAGTGGTTAGGGAATTCCGGCGGCACCCCTCAGGTTCTAAGTTCGACTCCCCGTGGGAGCGAATTTCAGGCTGGGGGTAAAAAAAAAACCTCGCCCGTCCCCATAAGCCAAAGCGCAGAATGGCCCAGCCCGGTTCTCATAGGGCAACGGATTCCGCTGCGTCAGGATGGGGGCGGGGATTCGGGGGTTTTCTCGATCTGTGTAAGAAAATCATCCTTCTTAGAATACCCGGGGGCTGTCATACTCCCCGCAGGTCGAGTTTTTATAACATTTTGCGTGCTTTCTTTCCATATTTCTATTTGCAATCTGTGTGGATAAAACATTTCATTAAAGGAACCCAATGGTGAAAGGGAAATCAGATTCAGGGATTCATACTTAGCAGAATGCATCTAAATTGCTGCTGGATGCTAATCAGTGTGCAGAAATCCAGTGGCAATCTGTACGTTTTATTTCATGTCTGCTTTATGTTGCTGTGATGGTATATAATTAAGCCGTTTGTCTTTGCTCATGCAGGTGCAGCTGGAGATTATTAGATGGGCTGCGTCTTCTGTTCATTAGTAGAAATGTGTAAAATGGGTTCACTTGAATGAGACGGTGCTCCCTTTTTTGTCTGAAGTAGTTTTTGGACGTCAGAATTTCAAACATGAAAGCCACAGAAAATAGTTTGTCCAAGTCCAATGATTTCGTAGTTTTTGTATTTTATTCTGAAACAAATTGATGTGCTATTGGCTGTGTGATAAGGTTGTCACACTACACTGATGTTTTTTATGAGATTCGAGGCAGTTCTATGCGATTGAAATAGTACTGTACTGTTACAGACTTGGCCTGAGTAGGCGAGGTATGTTATCCTCTTGCTTAGTTGAGCACCATAACGTTTTACTAGCCACATGTGCTGTCAGGAACTCTGAAGAGGCAGCCTATGCAGTTTCAACTTTTATCAGACAACTGAAACTGAAAGCCAGTCTTGAAAGCATTGATCTCTCATACGACGACCTATCTTCATTAATACTCATTCCAGCGCCTATGTGGGGTTTTAGCTATCATTTTCAGACGTTAAACAGTATTCAGACTTGCATTAAATTAATCACCGCGTCACGTATTTGGGATCTTGGGTTGGTGTCTGCCTGGCTGGGTCTGTAAATAGATGAACTCCTGAACGCTGAACCCTAGTCGAGTAGCAGTAGTTGTAGCTTCGCCTCCATGAGAAACTCCTCTGTATCCTGATTCCTGACTCAGTTTTCTGCATCCAGTGAAATCGGCTACTGCCTACTGGTTCCACCTATAGTTATTTTTTTCCCTTCAAACTGTGCCCAATCTTGCTCAAGCCTTGCGCGAGAGCATTTCCAGCAAAGCTCTAGTAGTACACTTTACAACCATCCTTGCGAGATATTAGCGGTGTTTTTTTTTAATGTGACGACTTTCATCATTTTTTCTACAAGTTGAAGCCAAATCAAAAAAAAATCATAGTTTCACTCTGCTAAACCTCATGAGATTTGCTGTGGTTGGGAAAAAAAATATAAACCATCTATTGAGAGATCGAACTGTAGGAAAAATATTAGGTACTTAGAAAAAGGTACTGCAGCATACTAAATGGGTGGGGACACGAAAAGTGTGTGATCAGTACCATTTTTTCCTTTTTTATTTGAGAGAAATAATGGGTAACTAGCAATTATGGGGAACAATTATCTGTCACCACACCATGACACCAAGCACAGCCCCCTAGCCGAGGCACACGCCAACTCAACTTGGAGATGAGTGTGCATGAAGAGAGTGAGCACCCCAGCTCCACCAGGCACCAAGCCAACCACGACATGCTACCAAATCAATTCGGGTCCGGAAGCGACCAAGCACACGCAATCAATTTGGGACAGAGTGGGGGACGCAAGGCCAGTTTCATGTAAATTAGTCGGATATATGGATGCTATAACCTGACATTTTGCACAAGGTCAAACTGTTTTCTTGAGACTCGAGTATATAAACTAGGGCTGTATGCACAATCAAAATTTGTAGCTACATTCTGAATGACTAGTACTGGAAATGTATATACATTGTATTTGCAAATCTAGTTGTGCAATTCTGCAAACAATTTGTCTAGTTACAAATAATCAAGTACAAAAGAAGTTGCGGAAAATTATAAGCCCTCGGCATAATGTCCTCCAGTGTATGTACCTTTTATGTACCAATTGCGGCAAATGTCATAGCCTCATAGGCATAGCCACTCACATACTACAGTCGTGCGAAAACTGATCAACAATCATGCCCATTGCAGAACATCCATTATCCATACTGTGAACTCCAGTAAGGGCTGAAACTGAAATGAATTGTCCCAGCAGTGCTGTATTCATTGGAACGAATTCACTGATCATGACTCAACATCGGTGTAAGTAACACCTGGCACTCTGGCAGGCACACCTGGCACTCTGGCAGGCAGTAGAGGCCTATATTTTCTGACTTAAGAGGCGCGGGTTAAGAACCATCAGCACACCTGTATCTTCATTCTTCACTATGTTTCTCACATATACAGCCAGGCACTGGATTTGCAAAGAAAGACTCTTCTAGCTTTGGGAATTCTCCAGGCTCCCTAAAATATGGAGCACCTATTCTATCTTTGTGTAATCTTTTCACTTCTGAGCTGAATATATCCCAAGGCACTCTTCCTTCATCAAATTCATCTATCAGGTTCACAAAACTCATCCTGCAGGACAAAGAATCAGATATCAGATATTCAGAAAAAAAAGGAGGAACAAGTGGATGACCACATGTCTACAACACAAATCACAAGGCTACAAGTTCATTCGGCGCAAAATGAAATTGACCATAACAAGTTACCCATCTGACAGTTTAATGTATTACCTGTCTGGGTTAATAGTCTTTCTGAAGTTCTCAAAACGTCGATGGCCTTGTACAGCCTTTGCCATATTTCCATCATAAGTGTAAATAAAGACATCACTCTGAAGAGCCACGATGTAATCAAGACCAGCAAGCATATTCTGATGATTTTTGAAGGGTGCAAGTTCCTCTTCTGTAGCCAGTGTAGAATGAGAATAAATATTGGGAAAATCATCCTTCAGAGCTTTCATGCTTCCATTGCCAAAAGCTTCACCAGCAACCAAGTAAATTCTTGTGCTTCGAGTGAAACCCAATCCCTTGAGTAATAGTGAAGTTTCTCTTGGTGTCAAAGGACAGCCACCAAGGCTTCTTCTCTCAGTAGCATTGATTTCTTTCTCTTTCCAGTGACTGACTTCATAACGCATTTTACGCAGTTCCTCCTCTTCTTCTGATGTCAAGTTATGGCTGCAACCAGTAAAAGCTAGCATGTCCTTCTCATACCTGAAAGACATCATAACTGAGCAAAGCCTGAAATGTATCTGCAGCTTACTTTGTGCATGATTACTACAATATGTTAATACATGATTTATCTTAATGTACTAGAAGGTGCAGCTAGAGAGTTCAGTAATAAGATGTATTAGTATGGTTACTTAAGGATTTCAAGTAAAAATTCTGCTTCGCCAGACTAGCTAAACAAACTTTGATATTTGGCACCATAATTTTGTAGAATTATTGCTGCTGTAGTTCCAAGAATTTATGGCTAAATTTTCAAAGCAATTTTTTAGACTAATTAATGATTGATGAAATTCAACTTTCCTTGAGAAGACGATTTCATAAAATATCTGTCAAGCAGCAGGCCTGTTTAAGATCATGCATCATATACTCCACTTTATCTATTAAAAGATTACGACGAGATCCACAGCATCTTTTGATTCCAATTCCAACCTCAGTTGTCTTTTCTTTAAAGAGACACGATAATAATTCTATTTGTGCTATCTTTGATATAGCAAAATGATTATGTAATCTGTCATGCAATGCAAGATTTATCGTTCAACATTTTGGAGATAGAGAAACTAAGATTTCAATCCTCATATTGTTACAAATATAAAACAACAGCTAAATGGAGATTCAGAATTAAGAAATAAAATAACTGACTGCACTAATCAGGCACAAAAATAACAATAAAAATATGCAGACAGAAGCATCCTTAGATAAAGGATCTTGCCTTAGATGGAGAGCAAGATATTGGCTTCCATCCTGACGCATCCTTGAAACTAGGGTATTACCAAGATCTTCAATTGTATGAGAATACTTCAAAGATCTGTAGTTAACTCGGCATCTTAGTTTCTGAATATAACTAGGAAGGCCATTGTTAGCAAGGCGAGAATCTGTATGTGTAAAGTAAATGACTTTGTGTTTCTTCAGAAGGGGGAGGATTTCATCTCTGTAATAATGCACCTGCCCAGAATAGAATATTGAGTGAGTGCTTTCATCATATCTCAATGTAAACTATTCACAGATATCGAGTTTCAGGCTTCAACCTTCGACCAAGATATCGGAGCTTTAGCCAATGGTTCAATGCCACTGTATTCAGGGGGAAGTGTTTCAACAATATCAATGTCTTCTTTCAGTGACTCAATGAAGTGCCTCCAGTTGAAAAGGTCCTTAAATTCACTAGTGAAATGAAGAACCAAGAATGAGTGCAATGATTGCATTGATTGACAAGTCTATAGTGGATTTGAGATTTAGAGATAAGAAGGTTGCCGCTGAAGATCCCAACCTGTCATCTGCCCAGTAGGATGTATGATCGAGTGAAGGAAGAACCAGAGTTGCCTTCAGGATCTTAGCAACAGCAACCATATCACATATCTACAATGTGAAGAACAGTGCAAACAGATATCAGCCATCAAATACAGATAGTAACCTAAAACTGATCTATACAATAGTAGTCGCACCCCAAATCTCATTTGATTCAAACCTCCATTTGCGTTTATGATAATGTAACCATTCGTATGAGAATCTTGCTCTACAAAATTAAGAACAAGAGACTAAATTAGGTTAAGAAAGGACAGAAGAAAGGCTAGATATATTACTGATATACAAGCTAACTTACTTTTATGAGAGTTTGAAACAATGCATTGTCTGAAATTTGTACTGCTTGGCTGAGACCAGACATCAGAGGCCTACATGAAGCACCAACAAAAAAAAAAGTTGACTTCCATAAATCATTGCCGACGAAAGGATAGGTCTAGGAAGAGATATACTACTAGCCTCAGCCACACTGTCTTCTCTTCCACTGATGCTAGATTCCACAGTCATCAAAGTCCTGTCACTCTCTTTTCCTCCCATGTATACGAAGTGATGGCCAACTTGATGCACTTTCTCACCAGAGAAGGAGACAGAGAGATCCTAGAAACATGTACAAAGGCAGCCAATTTGCATTATAATAGTACAGTACAAACCTTCTGATTCTTAAATTCATTATCTAGATCATACAATAGTTTTGGATTAACTATAAAAAAATCCAGACTATATAAACTTCATGAAATGCTGAAACAATGTGATAAGCTCAGGGCATACACAAAAATACAACATGATTGGAAAGAAACTATTGCTAAAAAAGCTCAACCAAAGGACAAAGATACCCTGAAGGCATTGCTTCAAAGGTCGAGACTCAAGAAAAGGCACCTGAAAGCATGCTCTTACCGGTACGGGGACATGGTTGCCATAAGCACTCATGCTTTTGGGGAACACAGCAAGGGGCCTTTTTGTGCGAACCAGGGTTTGAGCCCTGGTTGGTAGCCTCACAACTGGAGGACCTGTCCTCATGCCCGGACCAAACAATCTTTATGTATAACTTTAGCAATAACAGAGGCGACTCTAGAAAAACTCGGAAGAGAAATTTCTGAAATTGGTCATTGATCAAATCCTGTGTAGGGAAGTCAAGCATTGGCTAATTGGTAGACTAAATAGAGAGATAAGGGCACTGCTCTAATCAATGGTGAGAAGCAATAAGAAGGTTGCAGTTTTGATTTGGCAGTACTTTTTTTTTAAAAAAAAACACAGGAGAGCTGCGTTTCATTGTATTATAGAGATGAAAAAATGAGGGTCCGCAACAGGATCCTCACTCATACGGGGACCAAATATGAGTGAGGTAATTACACAGCCTTAAGGTTTAAACACATAGTGGACAATACGACTCGACCTTAACTCAAAAAGACCTAGTCTGCAAGCGCGAGACCTAACCCCTGTAATTTTCTCGCCCCAGCCATGCATCAGAGGCTGTGCTCATTCTTCAGCTCACTCCAAATCATGTTAAGCGAAGGAGAAGCCCCCTCAAAAACACATGCATTCCTATGCTTCCAAATAATCCAGGCCCCTAAAATAATTAAAGTGTTCACTCCTTTCCTGTGCTCCTTGCTGCCAAGGGACATTCAAGGAGGTCTATCCTTGGCTGGTATTAGAGAATCCCTACAGCTATGGGATTGCCTCTTGGAAATTATTTTGACTGACCAAGAGGATCGTCATACGTGGAGGCTTGATGCAAGTGGATGTTACTCTTCCAAATCTGCATATAAAGCTTTTTTCTATGGTGCTGTGACCTTTGAGCCTTGGCGTCGGCTATGGAAGACTTGGGCCCCTGCCAAATGCAAAATGTTTTTGTGGTTGGCAATCCGAAATAGATGTTGGACGGCAGAAGGCTTGCTAAGAGGGGCCTCTCTCATCCGGATAAATGCCCGCTGTGTGATCAAGAAGATGAGACAATACAACATCTTTTAACAACATGCGTGGTGGCAAGACAAGTTTGGTTCAGATTATTCACTCCACTGAACCTAGCAGATTCAGTCCCCCGACAAAATGAACTGAGCTTTGCTGACTGGTGGCGCACGACGATGAGCAGAGAACTCAGTAAGGAGTTTTTATGTATAAGCCCAAGCAATCAGCACAGAGATTAGTCGTATTAACTAGGGGTGCAAATGGTACGGATATTTTCCGACCGTATCCAAGTTCGAATCCGTTTAGAGGAGTTCAGATCCATCCATATCCGAGTTCTGATATTCAATATCTGATACCGTATCTTTATACAAATACTCAAATCGCATATAGATATCAATTCGTATCCTATCCGACACAGCTAACACTATTCGTATCCGAATCCGAGAATCACTGTAGCTATCTGACCATTTGCACCCCTAGTATTAACTACCATATGTACACCTATGGCTAGTAAAGACCATGACCATTGACCAGGATAAAATGTGTGTACATGAGACCATAGAGATATCCGGGAGAAGAAAACGAAGGTGCACTAACAGCCTACAGAAACCAACTGCCAATAGTCAGTAACACCAGAGCTAGCGTCTGTTTGTAAACTGCCAATACCTGTCCCAAAAGTTTCTCAGTGATACCTATCTAATGAAGTTCCATAGAACAGTATAAATTACTCAAACGGTCCAACCTAACAGATCCAAAACCAGAATATTTTTGCTAGGCCAGTCACTTATATCACTCAGCTAGCTTATTACACTGATTTATTATGGAAAAAGTCCGTTTTTGGCTGTCCAACTATGGTAGCAGTTTGGTTTTAGCCCTCCAACTCAAAAACCAAACACCCGCAGTCCCTCAACTCTCAAAACCGTTTAAAATTGGCCCTCGCGCCCATTCGACCGCGGTTTCCGCACAGTAAACCCGCCACGACCCCGCCTGTCAGGCCTTTCCCTCTCACCGCCAGGTTGGGCCCACTAGTCATCCCCCTCTCTTCATGGGCCCCACTGTCGGTGCCTTTGACCGAATTCACGCGGCCAGGTGAAGCGGCGACGTGTGCACGAGAGTGCACGCTTGCGCTTGACAAGGCACGGCTGCCTCTCTTCCTCCTCGGCCGCGCTCTCGCCGGCGGCGAACTTGCTCGGCCGCGCTCTACGGGCTCAGGGTGGCAGAGAAGGGGGTCTATAGTTCCGCGAGGTCACGGTGAATACTCTGAGGGGCTAAAGGTGGCGGATTGAAGCTCAGGGCGGCCGGCAATGGCACTGCGGCGGCACGGGGATGACGGCGGGGCTCCCTGGGTGTCGGTGAAGCTCCAGCGGGGTCCTTCTAGCCTTCTAGGGCTTCAACGAGGCCTGCTAGGGCTCCAGATGTGGCTCCAGAGGCTCGGGCGAGGCTGGCCACGTTGACAGCGGCACGGCGGCGACAGCGGGTCACGGCGAGGCTGCTGCGCACCTAGGCAAAGCCAATAGGCACCGCGACTAAGCGCCAGTGTCCAAAACTCATGGCGGAGTCCGCACCGCGACTAAGCGACGGGCGGACTCTCGGCCGGTCTTTGCTTTGCCCATTGCAAGGCGTCTGTGCTGGGAGGGAGGAAGGGTGCGGCGTCTTGTTGCTGACTTGCTTTCATGAAATGGGCATGGAACCAGGAGAGAGTCGTGGAGGGATGGGGATGCTTACCGTATGATCTGTTTGGTCAAGAGCTGGGGAGAAAGGGAGAGCAGAGAAGAGAGAGATCGGAGGGCGAGGGAGAAAGGGGAAGCAAGGGAGCGGCCATTGGTTCGGCTCGTCGGCTTGCAGAGGGCGGTGGCGGGGCTTGGTGGTGGCGGGGGAGAGAGGAGAGAGGAGAGAGAGAGAAGCTGTGGGTGGAGCAGGCACAGCGACGACGGCAATGGCAATAACTTGGCTCCAATGTAGGTCGGTCTTTTTGGGAAGAAAGGGGAGAGCAGAGGCGTGTGGAGCGGGGACGCGGCGAATGGCGGTGGAGAGAGAGAGAGAGAGGAGAGGAGGAAGAAGAGGGGCAGAGGAGGCGGCGGAGGCACGGGACTCGGGCGAGCTGGACGGACAACAACGGCGCCCTCTCGGCAGAAGAAAAAATCGGCGGCGGCTGCGATTGCGACTCTGTAAGCATCTCCATCGCATGCTCGCCATGGAGAAACCGAGCTGCAATGACGCCGAGGAGCTCCGCCGAGCTCGTCGCGCCTACTGCAGCCTGCATGCCATTGCTCGAGCCAAGACGCCAAGAGCTCGCTTTGCTTCGCACCACCATCTCCACCCACTCGCAGCGTCGATCGAGCCCTAGTGAGGGCCTATTGGCCACTTCCACCACCGCCCGCCATGACCGGGGCTCACGGACTTGAGCTTCCATGGGCGGCTATCACGGAGCTCTCTCACTCCCTTCTCTTCCTTCCCTCGTCTTCCCCATGAACCCTAGAAGCTCGACTGCAAAGCTTAGCGCGCCCGCCATGGTCGGATTTCATTTGGAGCGCCGTCGGGCCCTCGTCGTCGTCCGCCATGCACGCCACCGCCCTAGTTAGAGCTCGATGAGGGTTAAACCCTAGGCACCTTTAGGTGCGTCTCGTCATGAGGAGCATGCGGTGCCCTCGGTTTGCGCGGATTCTCGCCGACGGCGAGAAATCACCGGCCATCTCCCTCCCCTGCCTCTGTTTCGCTGCCGGTTGGGGAAAGGCCTGACAGGCAGGGCCCGCGAAGAGAGGGAGGGGATGACAGGTGGGCCCAACCTGACGGTGAGAGGGAAAGGCCTGACAGGCGGGGTCGTGGCGGGTTTACTGTGCGGAAACCGCGGTCGAATGGGCGTGAGGGCTAATTTTAAACGGTTTTGAGAGTTGAGGGACTGCGGGTGTCTGTTTTTCGAGTTGGAGGGCTAAAACCAAACTGCTACCATAGTTGGAGGACCAAAAACGGACTTTTTCCATTTATTATAGTATTCAAACTAAAAAGGATCAAAATAGAATGCAGGTCCCATCAGATATCTGTTAAACTGTTGCTGTTCAAATCCCACTGAGTCAAATTACATTTAGAATTTACTAGGCTCGTAAAATGCATTGCTACAGTTGGGAAGGCCAAGGATCATAAATTCTATGAAAAGTGGCATCTGACAAATGAATTCAGAAAATTGTGACAAATGCAGGTCCCATCCGAGCTTGCAAGTAACTGAACAAGTAGGCTGAGAGCACGTTTATTCATCATGACAAGTTCGGATAAGACATTTATGTGAATCTCCTACGCCTGGACTGGAGCTGTTGATCAGGACTCAGTAGGGTGAACAACATAGGAGTATCAAATAATAACAGCTACCATTTCAGAAAATTTTCCTAATCCTTTAGTACCTTCAAATCGGCGTCTTTGTCATTGCCAGGGAGGGCGAACCAGCCGCCCGCCAAGATCTTGGCGACGCCGAGGAGCAAGCACACGCCGCAGAAGGCGAGGAACAGCATGTTCCCGAGCTTCCTCCTCTCCCGGATCCCCAGGCCGAGCCCGACCTCGACCGCGCTGCCGCCGGAGACCGGCGGCTTGAAGGGCCGGAACCGGAGGTGCTGGTTCTGCTGGCTCTGGTGGTGGTGGTGGAGGCCGCCACCGGACGGGTCCACGGAGTCCGAGGGCGGGCTTCCCAGCCCGTCGCACCTCGGCGAGCGCGGGGAGCCGATCTGGACCTCGATCTCGCCGCCCGCGCCGCGCTTGAACGAGCTGGCCCGGCGCGTCATGGAGCCCCCGCCGCCGGCCATGCGGGGGCTGTGCAGGCGCTGGTGGTGGTGGTGCAGGTGGTCTCCGCCGCCGCCGCCGCCGGCGGAACCGGAGCCTGATGTCCCGGCACCGGCCGTCCCGCCGTTGCCGTGCATGGGCTGGTACCCCATGTGGATGCGGAGCGGGCTCCCAGGCCAACCCCCTGAAGTGGCAGTAGCTTTTCCTTCCTTCCCAGAGCCCACGTGGTCTCGGCACTTATGGCAAGATTAGGGGAGGCGCCATTAATGGAGTTCGGTGGGGAAGTGAGGAGGACTGGAGGAGGAGCGAGGAGTGGACTGGAGACGGGAGCCCGCGTAGTGGAAAACCGGGACGGGAGGAAGGGAGGAGACGCACAAGGAAATAGTCAGACGCGGCGCTGCAATTACGGCCTTGCCATTTGGACGCGTCGGTCGGCGGCGCTCGTTCTCGTTCGCATGCAGAAATTTGAGAAATTTCCATTCCCATTTCCTTACTGAGATCTCCTCTCAGCTGGTGGACGTGGAACTGAAACGCGGGCGGCGTAGATTTGCCGGTCTGGGGCCGCCGTCGCGTCGCACGAGATTGCCTTTTTCATTTCCCCCTTTCTCTTGTCGACCAGAGGCAGAAACCGTAGCAACTGTTTGTCCGGACTCCGGATAAAGGAAAAGATCAGTTCAGCTGCGCCGCCGTGTAAATGTAACCGCTGTTTCTTATTATTGGCGAGTAGCAGTAGCAGACTGAAACCGCTGCACGAGACAAAGACAAGCGCACAGATTTGGAGCTGTTTTTACTAGCTGCCGTGCAAGGGAGACGATCGCGTCACGTGGATCAGTTCGCCAAGAGTAGGGGCACCGCCAATTACTATTGTTTGGTGAGGCCTTCTTTTATTCATTTTCTACTATATATATAAACGAAAGCCCCTTTTAAATTCTCACGAGTCACGACTCGCCACTGGGAGGCAATGTACTGGCGTTTGCGTACTTCCCACCTAAAAATAGGGAGAGAATGTGTAGGCGTCGCGGCTGGGCTCCGGAGACCACAGAAAATCGTGAGCTGGTACGGCCGCGCGCACGTTCCTGCCGCAAATCCATCGTCTGATCAGCTTCCCGCGTTAGACGAAGCCAGAGTTGGCTGCGAGGAGGCAGACAGGCAGTGGGGCTCTGCGGCACGCGCTTGCCTGCACACTGCACCGGGACAGTCACGCCGTGCTCGCCGCCAGCGGCCAGCCCATGCCTGGTTGCCTCCACGACGTTCTGCGGTAGAGCCAGGGAGGTTGGCTTTATTCGCGTGTTCGCTTGCCTTATAAGTCGTATTTTTTAGTCAACGAATAATATTTTTCTCTTATAATAAATCAGTGAACGGTACTTTTAATGATGACTTATCAGTCAAATGAACAGGACGATTGTTGAGGGTCAGCTGCCATGCTCAGTTGCTGCTACCTGCTGAAATGGTGATTCACTGGCCACTGCCATTCCATGCCCACCAGATGTTTGTTTCAATGCCAACGTGGTGAAGCCATCCGTGGATGCGTGCATGGTTCTGCCAAACGTGGTGATTTTTCTATCCACGTTATAGGATGCATGAATGGAATCTGACCCTGGTGATTGTTTTACTTTTTTCCTTCCTTCAATGGGTGACAGATTAATCATGGTCTGTTAGATTAATCATGCTCGTGTGTTCGAGAGAAAAATAATAATAATATCCGTGGCTACGCTACATTTGTCATCAGTTAGAAATCACTGCATTATGCAATGCATTGGTGCACTAAGCATTATCATGCTCCTTTTAGTAGTTAGAAATCACCAGTGGGTTCTAGGTTCAGAGCAGAGCTTAAGCTCAACGCCGACGACTAATGAGTCCATGGAACAACCATTGAGTTATTTTAATTTTGACTACTTTATTGGGGATCGCTCCAGAAGTTGAACTGAATCCTTATATTTTTAAATACCCCTGCATCCAAGCAGAGACTTGCTGATTTTCTGTGCCTCTCTTCTACCACATCCATAGTCTTAGCAACTTAGAAACTGAAGCACCATCCGAGAATCATTCCTGCCGACAGTTGCATTTCATTCTATTTAAGATTTTCGTGTGCCCTGTGCCTGGATGAAATAACAAACTATGAGCGGCCTGCTAGCTGTTATTTGGGGATGCGCCTGTTGTTTTGGCACAAATGGGTTTGAAAAACGTTACTTTGCTATTACGAAATGACAATTTTCTGTTGCCTTAAAATAAGTTTCTGGACGTGTATCGTTTTTATTGGTACAATTTTAGAAAATAATGGTAAACTCTGTTAGTTCACTGTTTCCAACTGTCATTGTTGATGTCTCGTGCAGTAAAAGCCCAGTAGGGGATCACCCCTCCTGTTTCCCTCGAAAAAAAATCACTGTCACCCTTAGCAATCAATACGAGGAACTTACTCGCTGACCCAATATGCATGCTTGTTGTCCAGGTTTGAAGTTTCTTAGTACCCTTCTGGAGCCGTGGAGCATAAGTTTTCATTCTTTGTAATGCCGTGGGTATCTTCTTCACAGGTGCCCGGATGGAGTGGACTGTCAAACGCACAAGTCACAAAATTTGGTGATGTTTACCCTTTACCAGCTGAACAATATGTTTCTGTTTAATCTCCTTTTGTTGCTTGATTTTGTAATCAATTAGGTAATTAGTTTTCTCTTGACTACATGCATTTTTAGCTATATGAGAGGGTTCTGACTGATTTCCGAATCCTATTGTAATTTCTGAATCCTATTGTGAAGCAACTGTTCTTTGGTACGAAGTTTTTTCTGGACTGAGATTTTTCAACATCAAATGTTCCTAATGGATCTCCTGTGTGAGCTACTATTTTTTTTTGGAATCGGTAACACTTTCTCATGGATGAGAAGGGAAGGGAGCGATTGCTTTTTCATGCTCTTGAGACATGATTTGAATTCGGAATGTATGATGTATCCGAAAACTGTTAATATGAAACATTGGGTCATATTTTGTTCTGCCATTCCTGGTTAGAACTTTTGTGAACTAACTTATTTGTTCATATTCATAAGGAATGGGCCCATAAGCAATCACAACAGTGGGGAAACTTTTACTATTACAGGATGCACAACATAAGGTTTGAACTTCTGATTGGTCTTTCCCTTTATCCCGTGTTTGCCTATCATTTATATTAGAGTTCAGCTCTATAAATTCTAAAAAAACATCTTGAAACATGCGCTTTCCTTTTCATGAAAAGTTGTTTTTTATGCTGGTCATTAGCCTTGAAGCAAAATTTATATGAAAAAGCAAAATTTATGAAATTAAATACCAACATTAAAGCGAGCGGTCAAGGTTTTGTTTCGCACGAAGGGAGCGGGGGCGAGCGATGATTAAATGTCACTTTAACGTTGGTATTTAATTTTACAGTATTGTTATCTTATCGTGCGATCCGTGTGCTTTTAGTATAAAATATTAATTATCCCGTAGCAACACACGGACACGAACCTAGTACTTAAAAAAAGAACTGTTAATGTTTGTCTCAACCCCCTGCGCCTGCTGTTGGGGCCGAAGACTGATAGTGGACTGGGCTTTGCTGTTGGGGCCGAAGACTGATAATGGACTGGGCTTTGCTGTTGGGGCCGAAGACTGATAATGGACTGGGCTTTGGGCCCAAGAAATGTCCAGATACCACACTGTCCTGACTCCCGAGGCCCAGCTGGACATCATTTCAATTTCCAGCTCCTTCACTTGTCGCAACCTGCATGGAATTATATTTCTTCAATTTTTCTTTTGTTTCCTCTAGACTAGAAGAAGTACTTGAATTATGATATTGGGTCAGGCAGGATGCCTCCATTTCAGACTTGTACCCCTTTTTTTTTCTCTCTCTGATAGGAGATCTGGAAGACACTAGGATACAGTTTTGAGTTCAAGAGTGCGGCGTTCAGCGTTGTACCCTGCACGTTGGCAGAAAAATAGTAAAGTACATGTGCTGTGATTGTGAAATCGTCGTATAGTGTGACCATCGCGCGTCCCCGCTGACCTAACTTTACTTGCATGTACGATTCTGCCATTCTTCACCGTGTAGGAACCTTCCGTCGGACATTCGGACTTGCAAAGCGCAACAGCGATCGAGACGGCGAGCTTGGCACATGGCGGACGCGGCACGCGACGAACCCGCGCAAATCCTTTTCGGCCACCTCCCCGTCGGCGTCGGGTCCACGTCCACGTCGCTCCGGCGGGCCACGATCGCGCCTGTGCCCGTTCTCTGCACCCCCACGTGGCCGGAGGAGGAGACGTAGGCGAGCGTAGAAGCTAGACGTTCACGCTTCAACTGTAGCCTGTTGTTCTTTTTTATCGATTCAACTGTAGCCTGTTGCCGGCATGGCATGCGGCCGACTGCTTCCGTTCTTATCCGCTGACTTGTAGTTCATCTTCGTACGGAGGATACTTTCGGAACAAGTTAAGATTAAGGTCCCGTACGTCGAGAAGATTCAGAGAAATCGGATCACACCAAGTTCGTAAATTTAGTGAGACTGAATCGCTGATGTTCAGTTAGTGACGGACTGAGAGTGATTACTCGCACTAACACCACACAAAACGAGCGTAACCGTCACTAGAATTTCAATTTCTAGAACGTCATGTCGCGAGTCCACGCTGCCGGTAGAGAGGATTCGGCAGAGCCGTGAGCAACAGCGCGAGCGTTGCCATCCCCCGTTCAATGCAGGACCAGGACGCTGCTGCCGCCACCAACCGTTCGCGGCAGACGGACACAAACCACGCGTACAGCGGTGGCTCCAACGGCCGGAGATTCAGGCACTGGACCGCCAAAAGCGAGATCCCAATCATACGGAGGATCCCCGACTAGAAGATTCTTCAGAAACACCCGAAGCGGACACCGCTAGATTCTGGTCCACACAGCCTGCCTGGACGCCGTGGTGACACAACCGGCAAGCCTGATGTCACGGCTTCGCTCAAACAAGCCGCCCATTTGGCGTAACATCACATCACAAGATTTCTACTTTACTCATCCAACAAGGACAGTAGGTGATGCAGAATTGCAGATGCAGATGCAGATGCAGCTACAGCTCTCTCTCCAAAAATCTTGGGAGAAGCTGAAACGAACTTGAACAGCTTACACAGCGTTCTACTTTTACACATTGCAGCCCAGCCTCTGGGGTTCAAGACAGGGTGCAACACGCACCCAGGCCAACAGCAGATTTCAGAACCCGGCTGCTGCAAGACCTACCTGCTATATACTATATATTTACAACGAATTGAATGGCAGTACAATGGTAGAAAAAAAGTTAACATCGTCTTGCTACTACTGTCAGCAGCGTCTCGAGCCGCCACCACCCCGGGTTGAGAGCGCAAATCCGCCACGGTCGTACATTCGCTGGATCTCTTCCCGGTACCCGCTGAGGGATTTGCGAGGCAGGGCCGGCGTCAGCTCCACCACGTCCCCCATGCTGAGCTTCCGGTTCGGGTCGCATATGGGCTCGTGGTTCACCCTCGGCCGGAGGTCTTCCTTCATGGGAATGCTGTAGGGGCTCCATCTTGAGCTATTGGCGCTGACACGGTCCATGAGATCCATTACTGTTGAGTTTGCCGGGAATTCTTGGACAGACATCTGAAATGACACCACAGACTTTATATCAGATAACTGAATAGAACATAAACATGCAATGAGCCATGTGTGTAATTAATCGGAACTGGGCTAACCTTGTCATGCTCCAGGAGGATGACAAATAGTGGTCCATCGTGGTTGCATTGGCGGGTATATGAGTAAGGGCACTCCTCTGAATGCAAGGGAAACGGGCATGGTGGCCTCACAGTATCGGCATAGCCTAGGGAGGCAGTCCGTTCTGTGTTCATCGCTTCGCATTGCCATGTAAGGACCCATCTTGCCCATTCCACCATTTGGAGCACGAATGAATGCCTAGAAGTGCCCTCCTTGTACCTCCAGTGTGCCGCGAATCCATACTCGGCCTGCAGATGCATCTCCTTTGTGCGGATCTGAACTTCGAATGGGTGGACGCCTTCACTCATGACAACAGTGTGCAGCGATCGATACCTACAGCAAGCAAATAAGTGCATGGCCTTGCAGGAGAATTGAATGGGTCTACTGAATTGCATCTTAGCTTACCCATTTAATTTCGGACGTGATATGTAATCCTTGAATCGACCAGTAACTTGAGGCCACAATCTATGAACAACACAAAGGGCTTTATAACAATCTTCTTCGTTCTCAACCACAAGACGCAGGCCATGTATATCATGGATCTCCTCCATTGTCAAGTTCTTCCTGATGATTTTACCAAATTGAGTTAGCAGAGATACATAAAAAGAATGTTTTACTATCAATCATTGCAAAAAGGACGGTTATGACATACTTTAGCATCTTGGAATGAATACTGTATAGGCTCTTGTGCCTCCCAGAAAGATTGTGATACGAGACACCAGCATCCCTCAGACCTTTATCTAGTTTATCCACAGCAGATGTAATTAGCTCCTCATTAAAGGATTCTGTAAGTTTGGATGACAACTCCTTGTGCTCTTCCGGATTCAAATACTTGAAACAAAGATTCTCCAGCTGGTCTTTCCAGCTAGCAATCCCTAGTCGGTTAGCTAAAGGCACAAAAATCTCCATTGTCTCCTTAGCGAATCTTTGTTGTTTGACCAAAGGCAAAGCTTCTAAGGTCTTCATGTTATGCAGGCGATCTGCAAGCTTTATTAGAACAGCGCGTGCATCTGCCATTGCTAGAAGCATTGTATGCAAGCGATCCGCTTCAACTGTTCTGCTTGCTGTGTTGTTATCACGAGCAAGTTTGCTAAGGTGGCTCAACTTGGAAACCTGAACAGGTCAGAAAAAAACCATAAGGACAATGGAGCTAACAAGAGAATGGAACAATTTTAGAACCATGATGATGGATAACACCAAATAAAAGTGAATTTTCAAAATAGACATGTCAAACAGAAGAATGCAGGCAGCCGAGAACATATTGCTAAAATATATTGCAAGTTGTGGTTGTGGAAAGAAATAAAGAACTATTAAGAAAAAGACTAAACAATGTGATACCATTGTCAGCTAAACAACTCATACTATATCGCAAAAGTCACACATTGGGTTGATCCAAATGAACATTTTTTCTTTAGGTGCTTATAAGATAATACAAATAAAATGAAAGCAGCAGATGATCATTGACTTAAAGTTACAGGGAGTACATCATCATAATTGCAATTGATTAAGCCAACAACTTGATGAGACACAGAGGAAATAACAATATTTTCCAATTGCAACAAATTATCAAGATCCAAGGGAAAAGGAACACATACCCCTTCCACGAGATCAGCAACCCCAGCACCAAACATATGGAAGATGTGATCATAGTCAATGAATGAATCATCAATGGTGTCATGCAGAAGCCCAGCCGAGACAACTGTTGCATTCGCACCAATCTTGGCAAGTAGCACAGCAGTCTCCACACAATGTTGCAAGTATGGATCACCACTCGCCCGCGTCTAATCACAGAACAAAAGCAGAGACAAGATTCAGTAACTAATGCACAGACTATTCAGGAACGGACAATTCAGCTAGAGGTTGGAATTTGTGATTTACCTGGCCACGGTGAGCCTTCTCGGCCTCCAAGAAGGCCTTCACGACCAGCTCCTCGTGGAAGATGCGGTGGCGATCCTGGGCACTGGCGAGCAGCTCTCGGGCGTACGGCTCGCAGGCAGGGCTAGCCTCCGCGAGGTTCTCGTCGAGCTCGAACGCGAGCTCGCCGGCGCCGACCTCCGGGCGAGGGCTGCTGGGCGGCGCGTAGTCAACGCAGGAGCCGAGCGCGTTGCGCACGAAGCCAGCAAAGAGGCGGTCGCGGTCGCGGGCGGCGAGCCAAGAAGCCGGCGGGCTCCGGGATGGTGAAGAGGAGGACGGCCCCTGGAACACCGACACGGGGCTGTGGTGGTGGTGCAGGTCCCGCCGCTTGAGCGGTGGAGACGAGTGGGAGTGCGAGTAGTACCCGCCGGCGACGCTCAGATCGTCGGATCTGTCGTGCCACAGCGAGCCGAGGTCGTCGTGAGCCGGGGCGCGGGGCGGCGCGGCCGCAGCTGCTGGAGAGGAGAAGAGGCACGACAGGCCGCCGCCGCCGGAGGGCAAGCGGTGCGCGGCAGCCGGCGGCGGGGGCGCAGCGGTGGTGGACGGTGACGAGCCACGGGAGGTTGGGTCGAACTCCGAAGAGTAGACCGCGCCCGGCGGACTGGTGTACAGGGAAATCGCGGGCAACGACATCGCCGGAATCGGGGATGCCTCTGACGCGGTCGAACTGAAAGCCGCCGCTTAAAAGCTACAACCGAATCTGCTGACGGTTCGGAGTTAGAGCTGGATTCCGCGCCGGAACCAGACGGGATTGTCTCTACGTCGAAGGCAGCACGGAATCCGACGCCAAGATTTGATGATCTCAGTGAGGTGGAGTCGGCGAATTAAAATCGGGCAAAACAAAGTGTACTGATTCGGCGGTGCAAACAGCTGAAAACGGGGGAAAATCAAAGCTGCAGAGTATACGAAATCAACGCCGAAAACGAGCTCGGCGCGATCGAGGAGGGGGAATTTGGTGGGCGCGCTCTCGTCTCGTGGGGAGGAGGGCGAGAGGAGAAAGCAGGGAAATGGGGAAATCTGCAGTTCTCCTCGCGTATTAAATTGGGTTGCGTCCCTTGTGTTGCTGCGTGTGCGTGAAGAGAAAGAATCTGGGACCCTCCTCGCTAATTATAGGAAGGCGGCTGGCTCCCAATATGCCGAAACTGCCCCTCATCAGGAATCTTCTATCGTGTTGCCGGAGTGTGGCCGTTAAGGGCGTGCCCAACGCTCCACACTGGATGTATGCCCCGGCCTCCACCTATACGTGCAGTGCAGTGTACACATCAGCTCAAGTATTAGCCTCGCAGATGGTCAGTAGCACTTGCAGGAGACAGCTGCTTTGTCTGCCAAAAGGGCAGAGCTACCGTTCCAATACGTGTTGTGGGCTTGTTGCAGGAGAGAGAACTCTGCGTTGCAGTAGAAAGTTGCAGTGTGCTCTTTAAATATCTGTCGTTTGAGCTTTATGATAAACAACTTTAACTAAATATATATTAAAAAATATTAATATTTATAGTATATAATTAATATTATTGAAAAAATCTTTAAATCTAGTTTTTTAATAATTTTATTAGAAGATATAAATGTTACATGTATTTTCTATAAATTAAGTTAAATTTACCGTAAAGCACGCTAACAGACTATGCAGCAAGTAGCACCCCACTGGTTCCCGCACGTACTATATGCCTATGTGGCATTTGCTGCCCTGCTAGTACTTGGTCTACGTGCTGCTGCCCTAACTCTGACTCCATAAATGTATCACAAACTCAAAACATAAAAGCATGTGTAAGCTCGAGTTCACAAAAGTTCTTTAGTTGGACGAGCTTTGGTTATGCTCATATGAAATTAAAACACTATATTACGCGTCGAACGCCATTTCATCGATACGATCAAGTGAACATGGTGTTTGATTTTGCTGGTTCTGTCAGCCTTATCGATAAAGATTCAAGTATATTTGTTGACAAGTATTTGTGTTGACTCCATAAATGTATCATAAAACTCAAAACATAAACACCCACTTGATAGCCATTCAAACTTATACTTATAAACACTTACAACTACTCTTGAAACATTTAGCATTGTCTTTTCATCCAAGAAAAACATTTGAAACATACACGTATGAAAACTTGAAAACATACGCTTGTTTTCTCTCACAATAATTCGTTCAGCTTAGAAGTCAACTTTTTTTTTGACTAATCATATATAAAAGATTTATAAGCATAAAGTTTCATTAGATAGATAGTTGAATACGGGGCCATAAAGCATGTGTAACCTCGAGTTCACAAAAGTTCTTTAGTTGGACAAGCTTTGGTCCTGGCTCATTTGTAAATTAACATAGGCATGCCTAGCGTCTGGATGTCCGCAGGGACGATCGCGTCACGGGACCCAAACGCAGGGACATGGGGCCGCCGCTCTGTGATCCTTATTTCACATTATGCGGCGAAGCGGAACCTCCGTGCCTCCTCGCTGATGGGGACGCCTGCGTAGACTGGTCTCTGCTTCACCTGCGTGTGTTAATAGGGAAATTTTTAGCGATAGAAGATGGAAGAGACGTAGAGGTGCCTCCATCCCTTTCACATACATCACGCGCGACCGGGATACGACCGTGTGTAAGCATTTGGGAATTAACCCCTTCTCTTGCCACCTACGCATGCATGGCGCCGTACTCAGGAGTCGACGATTGGTGCAAAGAAACGGGTTCCTTGCAAAAATATGCAACACCAGATCTACTTTTGCAACATCTAGATGAAACATTTGTAACATACGTCTAAAAAAGCTGAAACACATGCAACATACATCTGAAACACTTGCAAAACACTTGATATCCATTGCAAAACATATACAACATCCAGATAAAAACACTTACAACATATATATGAAACACCTGAAACGCTTGAAACATACTCTAGCAACATGCATGTATATGCAACACCCAGATCTACTTTTGCAACATCCAGATAAAACATTTGAAACATACGTTTGAAACACATGAAAATATACGCTTGCAACATACGTATATTGTCCTTGCAACATATGCAACATCTCATATACTCTCTCTATCCCAAAATAGAAGTCGTTCTCGCTTCCTGAGAAGTCAACTTTTTTAACTTTGACCAATCATATATAAAAGAATATTAATATTTATAATACATAATTAGTATCATTAGATAGATCGTTGAATATACTTTCATAATAAACTTATTTGGAGATTTAAATGTTGAACATATTTTCTACAAACCTAGTCAAAGTTGAGAAAGTTTGACCTGCACACATCCCTTAATAACTTTCTCTCTAGGGCGGAGGGAGTATACTTTTGCAACATTCAGATCAAAACACTTGAAACATAAGTCTGGAACGCCAGAAACACTTAAAACACGACATCGCCGGTGGCCACGACATACCTGGTAGGGAACTACGGTCGCCAGCAGACTCGGGTCACGGGGACATCGGCCCAGCATACACCACCGCTGCAGGACATGGGCCCGTCGCTCCTCCTGTGATCCTCCCACGCCAGCTCGTTGCCTAAGCTCACGCCCGTTAGTGCTGCTTATCTAGCACCGTTGTTACTCGCTCGCAGTTGTCGGGTGCGCGCGCGGTGGGGGAAGGGCACGGCGCGGCGGTGGACGAGCGTACAGTGGGGGAAGGGGTGCGAGTGTGAGTGGGGATTTTTTCAGCGATGGAAGATGGAAGAGACGTAGAGGTGCTATTGAGCATGTCCATTTCACAGGCCTAGGAAGGCACACGTTCGGACGGGACAGACGACTGTGTGCAAGCATTTGCGAATTAACATTGAACTTTGCAATTGAAGTTTTGCGACCTACTAAATTTCGCTGATTTTGCGACCTACAATGTACGTACTCAGGAGTGGACGATTGGTGACAAATCCGAAAGTACTATCTGTTTCGTTGGCCAATCATAAATGAGCATAATATTTTTTGTTCGGACAGAGAACAGACAAATCTTACCGGTGGCGCAATTGCAAGGTGCTACGTAGTAGGATTGTCAGCTAGACGCCCAGTCGGCTAAACGGCCTTTCTTATCCAAACGAATTGGGTAATGACATCCATGGTGATGGTGGTGTTACTGTGACTGCTTTACGCCTAAAGTCATTGGGCAAACCGAGACATGTCTTTTGTTAAATCAAGTTTGCCCTATCCAAAACCTTCTTCATTCACGTCCCCTGGCCACAGCTAAATTAAATGACACTCGAGGTGATGCTAATACGCCATTATCATACCGATAAAAGCAATGCAAAAGCGAATTAGAATAAAAGACTTTCTAGAAGGTGCTACAGCTAGTCCACTAGCTCTAGGAAACCAGGATAGTGTGGAGTGGCGTGGCGGCCATTTTCTACTAATCAATCCGCTGTTCCTGCACTCCGGCAAGCTCCTATAGGCAGTTGCAGAAGGTCTGGAGATTCGGCCGGCAAAATTCCCCATCATGTAGGGATTGAGTTCTGTTTTACACATTGATGAGTAGTGCCCACCAACCTGTTGTGGTCACGGGTCACCTCAATTATATGTGTCTATCTTTTTTTTAGAAAAATATCCTGTTTGTCCTTTTTAGAGTATTTATTTATTTTTTACCTGAAAAACAGAAAGTCAAATAACGAATGATTGCCACCTCCGATCCCATCATCACAAACCACGGGTTTAAATTACTCTATGCTAATTAATTGTTGGTGGATATTGCTGTGTGTGACGTGTGAATAGAAGGTTCCTGCAAGAATTTTTTTTCTCTGACGAGGGAGACCTAAATCTCAAAACAAAGAGTATAGTAATTCCTTTCTTCTAAAAAGGATATTATAGGTTTAGTCAAAGTCAAACTATTTGAATTTAATCTAATATACATAAAAATACTCAATATTTATGCAAATTAGTATCATTCAATTTATCATGAAACTAGAAAAAATAAGGACATGCAGGTAACTGTTGCTGGGAAGGAGTCACCCTAAAAATGTAGACAAGACGTTTAGTTTTTTTTATTCTTCAACTCTTCAAGTACAAGATGTAGTATCTGAACTCATGCAACAACTCATACCACCACACACATACCTGGATGACATGTGGTTTAAAGATTTAGTTAGTGATCACATCATATGTTTAATTCATCTGGAAATCAAACTCCATAGCGTGCTTAAACACGTTTCTGCTCTGGCTCATAATGGGTACAAGAGGTTTAGAGATTTATCACGCACAAGCTCTCCAACGTGTGTGTGTGTGTGTGTTTGTCAATTGCTTTTGTGATCGAACTTTGCATCACACTTAAAACATTTAACTCATACAAGGCGTTTGATGTGAAAGTTGGCGCACAACCATGTCGCTGTAGCTTGGATTTACTCTAACTTATATAGACACATAAGAAAGGAGATTTGGGGTCTATCGAATCACTGTAATTTTAATTTAATGTGTTGCAGTGATGAAGAATGAAAACATTAGCCTCATTCTTAAATATTAATATTACATTATACTTATATATCTCTATATATTTATCTCTTCCTGTTTGGTATATAAATATAGTTATTATTAGTATAACGAGGGCGATAGTTGTAGTTTTATAGCATATATATTTGATACTCCATCCGCCTTTCAAATTATATGTGTCAAGCTTTAATAAGCTTTTTTTTCATACAACACAATTATATTTTGCTATGTATA